TGTTTGCTCACTCTGCGGTCCCCGATTATTGCGCGCATAAACAAGTCATTTCTGCACCCCCCGCCTCACCCATTTCCTCTCTCTCTCTCCTCTTTCATGCTGCCTTGTGTTGATCATACGCACTGCCTGGACCAGATTTCATATATCGCATGGCACTTGCGGCCATGTTTTCATTAGCACCCCCGAGAAAGAGAGAAAGAGAAGTTCACATGGGATGAAAATCTCTTTCGATGAGATGAAGTCTCGCTCTCATCCCAGTCAATCTCATGATCCATTTCCCCTCCTCCCATCCTCCCATCCTCCCATCCTCCCATCCTCACCCCGCTAACAAAAACGGAGGCAGCGGAGGCAGTAGGTAATTTCCGGCACAACACGTGCTCTCGCCTCCTTCGTCTGTCTTCTTGTCTCCAGCAATATTGTCTGGGATTGAGAAGTGGTGAAGGGCTTTGACAAATTACCATCCCCTTTGCATAGCTCATCCTCATAGCTGAGGCTGAAAGTGCACATTGAAAACGACTGCACCATTTGCAAAGAAGTTGCGCATGCAAGAGACAGCTCTCCTTATCCCTTGATGCATAATTTATAGGGTGCCGTCCTCGCGCAGACCCCTTTGTTTTTGGCATATGCAAAAGAGCATGGTAATGCACGGGGAAATATGGAAGCACTAGCAGCTCAGCACACCCTTTTCCCTCTCTTTCTCTCTCTCTCTCTCTCTCATCCGTTCGATGGTGACAACGATAAAAATAAAAAGGGAATCTTCGTTGTGGATCTTATTATCCCATTTTCCATCTTCATCTTTCCTCTCTCTCTCTCTCTCTCTCTGATGAGAGGCTGAAAGAGGACACACCTTGTTTGCTCACTCTGCGGTCCCCGATTATTGCGCGCATAAACAAGTCATTTCTGCACCCCCCGCCTCACCCATTTCCTCTCTCTCTCTCCTCTTTCATGCTGCCTTGTGTTGATCATACGCACTGCCGAGGAATCGCCTTTCACCGTTGCTACAGGTAGGCGTATACAGGTACAGGAGTTATAATTAATTTAATTAGCGTTATAATGTATGTACCTTATCGGATACTGGTGCAGGAAGCGGAACGGGCAATGGAAGCCTTATCACGACTCTACATCATGACATGACGTGGATTTCCTCCATTTTACCCGACACTCTCTGGCACTCGGGTCTCATTCATTTCTTCGCGTTTGGAGAGAAGTCAGGAGCTCAGCCAGAAGAGCAGCCTAATCAACAGAACCCGTAATGAGAATATTTCTCTGTCTTCAGTCTAGTGACAGATGGAGAAGCCTGTAAAACGACTCATTAACATCTGTACCAACTCCAAAAGAGTGTTTCTTTTTCTCCCTCTTTTTTTTTTCTCGTTTTGACTTTCTTTTCTCTCCTTTCCCTGCCTCGTTGTCCCCGTCTAATGCTTGATCCATGCTCAGTGCCACGGAAGGGAAGGGAAGGGAAGGGAAGGGAAGGGAAAGGGAGGTGAGCGTTGTCACATGCTGGACTCATTAGGTGTATACAGCTAATTAGCTGTCGTCCCTCGATCTGAAGTGGAGATAACTCTAGTTCCCGCTGCTCTCTAGCCTCTTTTTCTCAGCTCATATCAGACTCTCTCATTATCACCTGTAGCCTTGTCATTTCCTGGCTTCTTGTCTCGCATAAATGGACATGAAAACAATGCTTTCTAAACCAGTCATTCCACTCGGTGAATGAGGACGCCATGTATCCAGGATGTGTTGCACGAACCATGCATGTCCCGATATATGACAGACCCAACAGCGGGGAGGTATATAAGCCATAGCCAGCTCAGCACACTTAATTGATGGTGTTTTGGCTAGAGTCACGATCACGGTCACAGTGCGCAGAGACCCTCATTATTTAGCAGAGCACGAGATGAATGAGATTTTAATTCGTCGTTATGCATGGAGACAGAGGAAGACCTCTGTCTCTGTCTCTGTTGCCTGCCTCCCCCTCCCTCCCTCTCTCCATCCCTCTCTACGTGTGTGTATACAGTAAGCTCGATGTCACTCATCCCATGGAGACATGAACGAGGAAGATTCTTGTGCTTCTTCCAAAGGAGCATGTAGGCAAATTGCACGTCTGTCAAGGAGCTTTTCACCCCCCTGTTCACAGAGACCCCAAATATATCCTAGATGAAAGGGGCATCATCTTCAGACGGCCCTAGTCCCTCACACCTCCATTCCTTCCCTTCAGTCTTTCTCCCCTCCCCTCTAGTCAATCATAAACAATACCGGGAGGTCGGCGCTATATGACTTCGGTCTACAATGTGTGCCGAAATGATGGCGACGATGTCTTCCGGCACCTCATTTCATCCCCTCTACATATCGAGTTACACAGTTCGAAACGGTGACACCCAAGCCACTGAGACCAGTAATGCGAGGAGGCCTAAATGGTTTCTTCATTACTTCATTTGCCATTGCTGTCACCATGAATGAAATCGAGAAGTTTCTAAACGGCGGATATGAAAAAATCGAAGTAACGAGGAATAGAAGCCCTGGACGTACAAGAGCGCGGGATGACCTGAGAAGCTCCGATGAGTTGGGCTTTTCTGTACTGGATGAGTGTTTTCAAGTACCATTCTCGAGATATGAATATCTGAGACGTTATATCCTTTGCGCATCAAGATTCCGTCCATGGATCCTTCCAGACAATGGTAGGGGATAGATTCAAACTAGAAATTGATTCGATTTCTCCTACTTCTGGTCGATTGTCCTCTGAGGAGAAAGAAAGAACGTTTTTATCTTCCATCCATTGGTTTCTGGTGCACTTCGCGGAGCATGTGGAAGAAGAAGAAACAGGCCGCGGAGAATAGACTAGAGTTGGATAGCTGTTATCTGGGCTTTTCTCTACCGTTTCCTCAACTATACATGTCATCTTTAACATCTCACATATGGTGCAGATAGGTGTCGAGCAGAAGCGATTCCTCCGTCAGATGGGCACGGGAATATTTTTCCCCGATCGAGTTCCATGCCACGTTCCAGCTCCAGATTGTCATCGTAATTCACTAACTCCACGACCTTTTTAGAGATAAGTCTTATTCCCCAGCAGTGCAGAACCAAGTATGGACAAGTAGATGTGTACTATATATGTATCTGTTGCACGTGGATGTGTTATCCGGGAGGTTGAAAGGGAATGCGAAATGAAACATTCTATAGTGACTCCCTAAGTCAATCGTGTAAGCGTGAGCTTGCCGTGTAGGTGAGTGCCATATGTCCAACCACGTAGGTAGGTGAATGCCGTGTTCCAATGTTCTCCGTCCTGTTCGATGGCACTCGATAAGGGGAAGGGGAGGAGGAAAAGAACACTGATCAGCAAAGTACTATCTGATTTCATTCATCAGCATCAGAACATGCATCCATGTCCTGCATCATAAATTACCTATAATCATCTGAATAATAATTATTGGGAAATGTCAACGGGCAGTACAATCATTGATTCATTCGTTCACATCAAGTTTTCAAAGCACATATCCGCACACCCACGCTCCCGCCCGCCCACATCCAACCATCACACTCACTTGCATACATACACTATCATGCGTTTTTGCTCCCTCTCTCTCTTCCCCTCTCCTCTAACGACTATCGGAATCTCTACTTGCAGCCCTGTCGTCATTATGAATCGATGCCTTTGGTTTTTAATATTTATGCGGTGAAAAATATCCTTATTCACGTGAGTGGAGGAGAGGAGAGGAGAGGAGAGCAGAAGGAAATCAAGGGGCACATAAGCGTATCCGACGGGTGGGGGGAGGTGACCGAATCTTTGGTAAGAGGAAGCAATCAGGATCATTGTTGTTCTTCACATGAGGAGGTCACTTGAGATCTAGATTCTCACAGGGAGAAGGGTGGGTGGTCAATGCCGAAGCCGTCGTTGGAGGCATCCCGTTCAATCGATGAGGATGAAAATGATGAGGTGGAACGGTTGAAGGAGAGAGGGTGAGGCCGTGAGGGAGACCTGCTGCTGCTGCTGCTGCAGCCGCCGCCGCAGCAGCCGCTGCAGGGTGCAATGGTGAAAATGCAGACAAAGACATCCCCGAAGAGACGGTTGTCGTGATACCTGCGGATTCCCCCGGTCTCAACCGTGACACTGGCACTGCCGCACCCGGGAAGTAGCCCGGTGACGATGGAGGAATATGAAGCTGAGGATGAGTGCCTGCTGGTCTGACATTGGCATTCGCCCGGCTGCACGCCGTGTCCACAATTGACCAGATCTTTGGTTTCGATGGAGAGAGCCGCGGTGTGGACGACGAATCGCCGTCCACATCCGACAATGCACTCATGTTGTCACTACTTCCTCCCCCGTCTTGATCTCGATCTCCTCGTCCTCCTGTAATGAGATCGAAAATTTCACGTCCTTTCACACCTCCACCTGGTTCTGCTCCTTAAATATTCTCTTCTGACCCTGAAGATGGCTATCGCCAGAGACAAGCTTAATAAATCATATTCTCACTCCATGTGAATTTATAGTACGCCCTTCCCCTTCTCTTGACGCTTTATGTCTTCCTGCTTCTTTCATCTCCAGCTCATTCAATTGTTTTCCTCTTGTTAATTGGAGTTTCCTGTTAATAGGGGCCCAGGCGTAGGCCTGCATGAAGTGGACGAGGGGACATGGACAGGCAGGCAGGCACATGCACGCGATGCTATCTCTTACCATGTTACCCTCCGAGTCCGCTGTCCGGCCCATATCATGGGCTTGTCCACTTCGCAAGGGACATCGCATCCAATCTCTTTCTATCTCTCTCTCTCTCTCTCTCTCTCTCTCTCTCTCTCTCTACCCATACCCAGGTAGCCTAGTTAAAGGGGGCTGTCAGCCTGTGTGTAGCACATGTCGTGCCTATCAGCCTCTCCACGTAACAGATCATAATTCCCTATTGCTTAGGCACGCCACAGTAATTGATGCCTATCTAGAAGCGGGCCCATGTCGCCATGCAGTCAAGCAGGCACTAGGCCATGACTATGACTATCCATCCACCCGATCCAGTCCCCTTCGCTGCGGGTGGTCTCTGTCTCTCTCCCCTTGTAAAAACCCTGGACTTCTTTTTACTCCCCCCCCCCCCCTCCCCCCTTTACAGGCATTCTCTCTTCCGATTCTTGTCGATGCCCTTCTGTCTCTAATCGAGACGTGGGAACCTGTTAGGGGCCTGTCTGATCAGGTGGGCTCATCGCGAAAAGCATGTCGTCAATGAGACAGACAGACAGGAGACAGAGAGTCGAGATAGGCCGGGTCAACGAGGCTCCGGCACCGGACTTCTCATTCTTCGATCAGATGATGCAGGCCAGGCACGTTCCATCTGATCCTTCTGACTCGAGTGAGAGAGAGTGGCGTTTAAGAAAATATATGGCTTTGTTTGGAGAGGGACGTGTCAAGCAGGTAATTGATACAAGGTAGAGAGGACCAGAGCCAAGATTTCTTCGCGCTCGCGCTTTTCTCTCTCTCTCTTCGGGTCTCCCAATTATCACATTACTAGGAGAAGGTTCTTGCGGCTTAGAGCTCAACAACCCATGACTTTCTTCCTGCCCAACCAGAACTAACTCTGTCTTTCCCTCTCTTTCATTCCTCTATACGAATCATTTATTGCTTCGACGCCTCTCGTCACATACCTTTCTCGTCGTGACGATCTCCAGTTCTCGAATCCGCGTCGTCATCGACGTCATCATCCACGTCGACCCGGTTCTTGGGCTCCCAGGTCATCTTATTTTCCTTCTTGAGGCGACGCCGCGCGTTTGCGAACCACGTGCTCACTTGCGTCAACGTCATCTTCGTTATGATTGCTAACATTATCTTCTCACCCTGTAAAGAGGCGCAAGAGAAACGAGTTACGACGCTGTCGGCTTCCTTGGAATGGTTCTGTGACTGAGTGATGGACGCTGATATGACATCCAATTACATTTAGAATCTAGTCCAAGGTGACCGACCGTTGAAAGTATCGGTCAACGAAGGCGCTAAACGCATAAGGAATCAATCTATTAAATGTACCTTGGTTGGGTAGGGGTTCTTCTTGTGCTCGTGCAGCCACGCCTTAAGTGTGCTTGTGGTTTCCCGAGTCGCGTTTTTTCGTCTCGCTCCGTTGAAATCCACTCCGTACCTATTAGATGACATGACATGACACGAGATGAGTCCCAGACCGAGTCTGCGAAAAAGAACTCGACCCAGAGGCATTGATTTATTTATAGTAGATCATGTATCAGATTGAGAACCCTGCTGGGATCCTATCAACTACAGCCGGTGTGCCTTTCTTTTGGAATTCTCTCCCCCTTACGCTCTCTTTCTTTCACCCCTTCTGCACGCCATTCTATAGTCTGATATTCTTTCCCATTCAAGACATCTGCTCCACAGTTAGCATTCATGGCCGGATGAAAAATCGTGATCATTTCTTTTTGCTTGATTGAAGTCAAAAGCAGGAATGAATGTCTTTCCCCTTCGCGCACGAGTTCCTCCTCGAGTCCTGAAACTGGCTTCAAAATCTCCGCTACTCGATGCCTACTTCACGATATTTATCGGCTTAGGGGTTTCCGAGATTTGCATACACTCTCCATCAAAGATCAATTAGACCCTTTGCAAACAGATGGCGGGACACAAAATTTAATGACGTCCGCCATTATTTTCGCATTTCCCCATTGCCATTTCATAAGTCATTACGAGGTCTAATGTAATGACGAGGGAAGCGAGTGCAAAAGCTAGGGAACCACAAAATAAGCGTTTTCGTTCATTTTCCCATCGAGAGATTGTGGAATCGGAATGAGAAGTCTCAGTTTCTGCTACTCACCCGTTGAAAGGATATGCACCCAAACTGGGATCATAGGGATAATACATGGAAGCGGCATAAGGCCAGGCAGCAGCTGCTGCCGCCGCTGCTGCCGCTTGGAGGTTGTCTCCCTTGAAATCCCCTCCACAGGCCTGAGAAGAAAACACTTGCATGTACTCGAAGCTATGAAAGATAAGGGTAAAAAAAAAAAAACCAAAACCTAATAAATGAACTCGTACAGGAGAGGAGGTGATCGGTGAGGTGGTATCGTGAGCTCCAGCTCCAGGTAACAATGGACTCCCCGTCGCGCAAGGGAGGTATTCGGAGGCATACAGCGGCGGAACGGGAAAACCAGCTGCTAACCGCTGTTGGTAAGCAGCTAGAAGGTGATGGGATTGTGCAGCCGCGGCCGCGGCTGCGGCTGCGGCGGCTGCACTCGATCCCGTTCCTCCTGTTGTTGTCGGCGTGGTTATCACCGATGGAGGAGTCGGTGTGGACACAGATACACTGCGCATTCCACCTGGTCCTGTCAACGAACTTAAGCAAGATATTCCTCCTTCGCCTCTCTCATTCCCTCCACTTGACCCTTCCATTTCTCTTCCACTTGAGGATATTGCCTGAAACAGAATCGAGAGCACATCTCACGATCATGCATATAAATGACTCGCTTTCGCGATGAGTTTACAAGTACAGTGAACATATGAACCCATCATTAACAATCTGGTTTGGCTTCATTCTGTCATGAAAGGAAGGAAGGAAACGATCGAATGATCACACTTTTTTTGCTTAGGAAAATCCAAATCTCGATTTATCGAACGGGATGGTGCACGGACTGAATAGACAACTTGGAACACTCTTTTTCAGGACAGATATAATCCATCAAATAGCTGTCTTATATCGTATGCGGGGAATACGTCATTCGGTTGAGAAACACGGATATGCAATATTACCAGTGAGATATCTGTCACTGGAAAGAGGGGCATATTTGGGGGAGAGTATGAATTCGGAAGAGGTGAACCATTCCCCAGGGATGCAGCAGCTGCACTGCTGCATACGAGGGGGAGTTGATATTCCGACGAAGCTATTGGCTTGTGGGGTTATGTTGCTGCGTCCAGAAGCTGTATTTTTTTTTTGTACTCCCCCCCTTACTCATTTCAGGATAGTACAGACCGAAGATTGATGCGCCTCCTGTCCTCGTGGTTAGTGTTACCGAGGGGAAGTGCGAAAAAAGGGAGGGAAAGTAGGGGAAGCGCAAACTTCCCATTTCCGACGTCATTAATAGTCCGATTTGAACGGGTCATGCATCATGTGCGGGGTGCTGCCAGCATCATGTGCGTGTGGAAAATTCACCTTAACAAATCGAGCAGTTAGTAGGGGAGAACTCAAGTCGACATTCGCACTTATTAACAAGGATTATTTTGTCCACAATGGACTGTGGGTAGAATCATTAAAGCACTCTCAGATTAATTTCACCATGAAACAAGGATCAGCCCACGCATTCTCCGCAGCATGAATTTATTACTTAATAAGGATGCGAAGCAGTGATCCTTGGCCACCCAGTAAAGGAATCAGCTTTGCAAGAGGAAGCGATGGAATCCACGGAGATGGAATAACTTCCCAGTCTATGTCGATATAGTGACTCGTGTACCAGTCCTGCGAGTTAAGTAGGAATCGGCCAGATCAAAGGATCGAAATATATAGGGCGAAAGAGATGTTCGAGAAATAGACACGACTCTCTATCTGACAGATAATGGAAAGCATATAGGAAAGCGTGACAAAACGGTCCTTTATGGGAAAGCCCGATGACCGACTTGGAATACGAAAGCGCGTTTTCAAACCTACTTTAGCCAGAAGTGGAATGAAGCAGTGCGGCACGGCAATGCTTCAACCTGGGGGATGTTGAGCACTATAGTAGGTCCGCGGAGCGATCGTTCCTTATTCTCGGGAGAGAGTCATGCCTGCTTTTACGGCTACTTGTACTGAACTGACATTTTGAAAGGGAATTTACGACTGGACTGAGGACGTCGAGGAAAAAGCGATGCCCGACTATAGAGGACAGACATCTCGACGAGATGTCTGTCCCGTCGACATGTCTGTCCCCTGAGCTCATGGCCGGACGGACCTCTTAGACTCATGTTATCGCCATGAACCCTCTTGCTGCTGTATCTAAATGAAGCGAGAGCCGCTTTTAGACGCCCTAATCTTGTCAAGGAAACGCTTACAGACCTCTCATACCCGTGACTTTCGTTTTCTCTTTATTCTGGCTTCGTCATCAAAAAGCTGCGATTGACAGAATACGTACTTGTCAAATTATCCTCTATCTGGCGAAATCGGAAGAGACGTGGCGAAGTGAGTAAAATAGAGAATGCAGTGACACAGAAAGCAAGCATCGAAGATCGAGTAATTCTCATTGTAAATATTCAGATTCCAGCAGAGGAAATTCGCATCAAAAGCATGATACGTCACGAATAGTTTAAGATTTTGATGGGTGTCCTCGCATTCGATAGGTGAACAAGATTTGAAACCAGATTAAATTCTGCGGGTTTTCATCTTTCGGGTCGATGTAGAGGGCTGTCTCTGGAAGGATTTTTTCATTCTTATTTCGTCTTTACCTCAACGCCTCACGGGACATGATTCGTAAGTTGATTTTAAACAAATATATATTTTGTTGCCTGCAACAGTAATATAAGGAAAGGAGTATTATTATTAAATATGGACATTTAAAAAGGAAATTAACAAGAAATAAATAAAAGGGAAAAAAGGAAATAATACGAAATACTTCGCACTTGCACAGTGACTGGAGGTGAAAAAGTCGGAAATTAAAAAGAAGTTAAGCAAGTCTTGTCCAATAGGGGACCTGCTTTCACTATGAGAGAATTATATTTTATCGCCTTATCGAACAAAATTAATCACATTATGATTATCGATCACACCACCCACTAAATATTTCTCGATCAGGTTTTACGCCCTGGGGCAGAACTCGTTGCTATGAAAATAGAACTTTATTTTCATGCGAACGAGGGAGAAACTTTAGATCCGGAAATGACCTCTCATCCCAAAGAAGTCCAACCAGTTTCAGCTAGTCCGCATCTATGTCACCAATCGTGTCTGGGAAATATTCCAACTAGCGAATATATTTTGTCTAGGAGACTCAAATATTCTATTCTGTTTCCTTCCAATGACAGCTGCATCAGATTCACCACGCTTCCAACATTGAGGAGGTCTGCATAATCAAGACGAAAGAGATCCTTCGGTTTTGCAGTTTGAATTTCCCCGTTGTCATTGGCCGTATGCATCCCTTCTTTCGGGGATGTTACATGAACCTGGGAAAAACTTGAAAATGACGACAGTGAAACGATTGAGCATGACTTCTCCGAGAACGAACTCGACCTGTATCTTGCCCATATGTGTCTGCGTACGATTGTCACTGCGATCAAGGCGATATTCTTCCAACTGTCGTCGGACAACGAAGAGAAACATCGGTAGTGACACACCCGGACGGACAGGACGAGACTATAAATGATCTCTTTCCTTTTATGAAAAGGCTCACTGTGTTTTTCCTGTAGCACAGAACTTCCCTCTTGCTTGGAATATGTCGAAACTGGAATGCGACTGAAAAAGTTATTCTAACCAGGGTTCTCGTTAACTCGCTATAGCGAGTCCCTGACTCATATTTTCTTGGAGGGACTCATATTTGCGAAACATCTAAGTCCGTGGGACTCATTGACAACCACCTGAACATGTTCCCACTGAGCTGAAGCTAGGCGCCAGGACTCAATATTTTAAAAAGCTAGTGTGAACCCTGATTCTAACGTACTATTACACACAAAGCATTTATGCATCTTGAGGAAGTAACTGGACAACACTCATGTCGTCAATAATTCGATGATTCCAAGAGAAAAGAAAGAAATATGGCCAAAAAGGAAAAGGATGGAAGGAGTTGGATATAACCGTCGTACTAGCAGCAAAAAATGCTCCAAGCCATGGTGGATTTATCCGAAAATTTACGAGTTCTGTACTGTCGCTTCTACAGAAGGGTCGCCCCAATGCGAAGGAAAAAGATAGAAAAGCTGCCGAGTTCCCTCCAGTCCGATCCTATGTTTTGGCATCCTTCTACGAGGCACAAATCACCTTAATTCCAACTATTTTTCTTGTTGTTGCAGGAATACGACCAGCAGGCAATGAGGAACGTCCGTGAAAGCTCTAAAGGAATATCGGACTCCGCTTTGCTGTGATCTACGAAGCGGCGATCAGGAGTGCGGAAATCCTAATATTATTCGATTCAAAGTTCGTCTCGGAACTTAACTAGTGATTACTGACTACCTCATTAACTTGTTTCATTTTATTTTATTTTAGTTTATATAAAAAGCAAAGCACTTCTATGCAGATTCCCGTATGTCCACCAGGGAAAACATTGATATTCTCAGTCGTAAAATTTCCTGGAGCTTTTACATTTTCTCATAGTAGTCGGGGCAGTGGCGTCATGTTGGAGCCAATCCGACTCGTGAATGCGCTTTGCATTTCCGAAATTCCTTCATCACTTTTCGAAAATCTTATTTGTGAAAATTACAATGACAACATATCGAATTCTAAATATCCTTCGGGGATTTCCCAGTCTCCTCCAGAGAATTCACTTCCCGGAAATACATCCATTCTGCGAATGCATAATTTCATTATAATGTCAAATGAATATTTTCTGTCAAATACGTCAATTCAAACCTACCGTCGGTGATAAAATTATAATTTAGGCACAGCTAGTGTAAAAGCCCGAAACGTCGTCTGAATTCTTAAAGCACCGGTAGATATGTAAGTTATATGGATTATTCTTACTTGGAGCTGGCAAAGCAGGAACTGGGTTCCTATGTCCATCCCTGTCTCTTCTCCCACTAAGGTATTTGTAGAGAATCCTTCCCTCCTCCTGTTGCTCGAGTCAGACACAACCTCTTGAGCACTTGAAGCCCCATGAAAGGAGGTCTGAGGAGGGGAGGGGAGATGTATCCCCCGACTTCGCTATCTTTCCGGTACCTTCAATTACATCAGATAACCGAAATGGACATCCTGTCGGCATTGCCGGGCTTTTGTCGGCAAATGTCCGAGTGTAAACTTATCACGTTATTATTCGTGTATATAAGCATATCTCGGGCTTGCCAGGTGAAGTAGGGTGGATCTCGCGGCTCTGCAGGAGACAAGGGCGGAAACAAAAACTTCGAAAAGCTTCCCCATTACGATAAGATATAAGGAAAACAAAGAGGAGAGTGATGCTCTCTTTCCAGGTACATACTGCATTCAATGTATCGGCTAACAAACGCCTCGCCGAGAGAGAGCAATCCTCTCATGTCTCTCGAGTGCGTCTTCTCTTCCCGCCTTCAATGACATCTGAAGGAATTTCCACTTTTTTCTCGAGGATATCAATGCCGAATGCGTGCAAAGCATGGATAGACGCTGCTGACGCAATTCCAACTGATTGAACGGTTACAAAATCGGATACAGTTCTGCGCTGCTCGGGATGTGTGAATAGTCAGATCTTCCCTAATGAAATGAACTGAAAATAACGAACAAGTGTAGACAGCCCGAGAGTATGAAAGAAACATCTCAACACTATCACGACTCCCTACCAAATAAAGTATCAAGCAAGAGGTAATTTATCTTGCTCTATGTATGTTGTTTTTGTTCTATCTAGCTGCACTCGAGCGTCTTTGTTGACGAGTTCTCTTCAAAAGTAGCATACCCTACCCTTCGTTAGACAAGGAGTCCTAAGAAATTGGAAGGGCAGAGACAGTCAGAAATGAGTCTGGAAATAGGGGGAAGAGCTTGTCATGTCACGCTTTCTTTCATGTCTCTCATAAGTGCCTGAAATCTGGTGCGCGACCGCCACTTATTATTTAATGTTACTGCGCTTGGCCTCGCCCAGGTGATACGTTTCCTGTACAGGAATAATTTATATTTCCTCATCGGGCTCATGAGGGCCCAGCAACAGAAACACAAGAAAGCCTTCCATCCATCATCCCTCATGTTGACTGTTACGTTGTTTTGATCTCCTTTACGACAATGAGAAAGAATACGGAATGAACATGGACGTCTTCACCATTTTAGGATTCACAAGGTGTCAGGGCAAGAAAGTTTCTAGCGCTACTTTCCCACTTAGTGCATTGGCCGATCGAGTGAGATAACGAGGCAAGGCATCTGGTATAGATGGCAAAACGGAATACAGAAAACAATGATTTGAAAAGTTCGATGCGAAAGCAAAACAGTCGATGGGAAGCAGTAGTTAAAAAAGCAGGAGAGCGAGGATACTAGTGCGGGATTTCTTCCCGCCTGTCAGGTTTCCACCAGCGCAAGGAGGTGTTGACGCAATAATTCATAGCTGGCAATTAACGTTTCAGCTGATGCTTCGATGATGAATAGCCCCGTAAGACGAGAACCTGCTTGCCACAGGATTCATACGTGCACGAACCATGGTAAGGAATGTAGGAAACGCTCTACTAGGACTTTGAGTTCTTGACCCCCCATATCTAGCAGTCACATTATGCATCTCGACGACACACGAAACGATAGATGCCAACTCGGCTGTGCAGAATTTGCATCGTTGTTCGTGTGTGGAATCGGAATGCAAAGACACGCGATGCAGTATAGCTACTTCGATCAATCCTTCGAGCGCAATTCTGGAAGAAAAGGGGGATTGGCATACCTGAGGATGGAATCCAACTTGAGCCATGTCCGTGTTTTGTGGGCCTGGGTTGTAGCGACAGGCGAGAAAGCCGATGACGATGAGTAAACCGACGGTCACGGAGTTTCATACACACCTTCTGAGTTGATAGCACGACACCGCGGTGAAACTCCCAGTGGGAAAGGAGTCACAGACTGAGACATGCACTGGTACAACTGAGGCCCATGTCGAGCGAGCGTGTTAACGAGCCCCGGATTAATGGGCGGGACGAGAGCCAATAGGAGTCAGGTGCCGGTGCCTGGTGGCGGCCCAGCTCCACCGATTATGATATGCACGGCCGCGCTCGCTCAGCTCCGTCCTGCACTCTTGCTCCCCCAGTGCCTATAGGCTACTAAGTCTGCTCAAGGTAGACCTATGCCAAGCCGAGCCCTTTCCTTCCCGACAACTACACAGGCCTTGAACGAGCATGGGAAAGAGCATGGAAAATTCTCTCTCCTATCTTCCTCTGTCTCTCTCTCTCTCTCTCTTTCTCTTTCTCCCCTCCGAACGCTTAGCTTTTTGCGTCTATTGATCGGCATCTCGTGATAGGTTCGGATGATAACAGGAAGCTCCGCCCCATACAGACGGGGAAGCCCAATCCCGGACTTGATGGAAGGTGATAGAACCTCTCTCGAACAGATGTCTTGGTTTCACTACTGATGTCAGACATGGCTCTCACAAACAAGCCTAGTTTATCTGGGGTGACACAGCCACTGTGAAGTCCTCTTGCTCGACCCTGTTCCTGTGGGCCGAGGACCAGGGTGGCCCGGTCCCTCATTTCGGATCTTTCATATCCTCTCATACTCAGAATGCCATGTTTGGTCAAAGTAATTACTTTTGGATCCATATATCCTTTGTCCACATTCTCTTTATTTGACAAGACAATTGGGTTCGGTGATGGGATCCTCTTCATCAAACTCGGTCCCAATCCGCGGACCCGACGAAGAATCATGATGACCGTGTACATCTCACGGCTTTAATGTCTTTATGTACGTCACCATTGTCCCATCTGTGGATCGGGTTGTCATTGCAAGGCCTTCGATGAGACCCGCAAAGTGGGGGGGGGAGGGTCAACCAGAGATGGTTGGTTACGGACTGGTTAATTCATGAATAAATCCAAGGCAATGGTCCGGAACAGAAAAGATCCCGATATCCCTGATGAAGACCGTGCCATTCAGACTGTCTTGGCACGGATGACCGTGAAGAGGATCAACGCAGCTGATCCCTCCATAAACTCCTCCTTTTCAGGCTTCATACCCATGTCCATCCTTCTCAGGCCAACGTTTGTGCAGGACTACTGGGCGAAAAGACCCATCATTTCCTGTTCAGACGTCCTACGATATACTTCGTTTCTGTTCTTTATTCTAATGTGATGTTTCGCTTTTTATCGTACTTGCCAAAAATGAGTCGATATCATTTATTTGCAAGGACTCAACGACAGTCCTGAACTGAAGGAAGCATGGAAGACAAAGAGAATCGAGTTACTCAGACCACTATGCAAAGTGAGAACAATTCGTGACGATTTTGCGGTCAGGCTGCATGTATGCTTCATAAGTAAAGTTGCCATTTGAAAAAGGGGAGTACTACATCACGATCGGGTCAGATACGAGGAAGGTACAGGAACAGATACTTGTATTTCTTCATATGTACTTGTTTTTCTCGTACTCGTATTCCTCGAACGCTCGACGATAACCGACAATGAAAGCATAGAGTGCGGCGAAGAAACATCCGGCGTACGAAAAGGCAAATGAAGAAGAAAAGGCCAAGGTGTTGTTGGCCTGCACATAAGAATGGGAGGGCGTGTAGACACGCAGGAGCCAGCAAGGAGCGCAAACAAATCTCGGGCACTTGGTTGCGTGCATGTAGGATGCTGTAAGGACAATTTCCCGCCATTATGTATGATAATGATAGGAGAAAAATTGCCCACTCGCCTTTTAATCACTGGAACTTGGAACCGTATCTGCATGTCCCACTAATAGCCTTTCTTTTCCATTGCAAATCTCGTGAGGGCCTCCAGGCCTTCACGTCCACCACCGACCGGCATTGAGAGAGACAAAGAGCATCAACTTTTTCTCTCTCTCTCTCTCTGTCTCGCTCTCTCTCTCCTCTGTCACCACAAAGGAAAACCAAGGAAATGAAACACTGTGTTGTCTAAATGACTCTCCCGACTTCACTTTTTTCGCATCTTGTATCTGCATAGCTGATGGTCCTGCGACCTCGGTCTCCGTAATGGATGACTTGAGAGTAGTCTCCCGATGGCTCAAGAAAAAAAAGGAGGAAACATCTTCAATTCGTGTTTCCAATTACTTTCAAATGAGAGGGCTAAACAGGGTAATTATGGAAATGAGAGCGGCGCCGTTGTTCCCAACCTGTCCGGTAGTCCCTGAGTAATGTTTCCCCTGATTACTGTATATGATAATGTGCAAGAGCCTCTCTGTCTCACTCTTTTTCCCTCTTTGTTTTACACCCATTTTAGGCTGCATCTAATGGTTGGCATTCGAGTTACTCTGTGCGTTCTCGTCTGAACGATCTTGTCCTGCACCCAGCCAATAAAATAGTCTCCTTGAGAGGAGGGGAAAAAAATTAATAGAAGCAAGATTCCGAAGCTCTGCCAGTCGTTTCAGGATGTCATCTAAGCGTAGAGATGTGGAAGACCTTGGACAGCACGAGAGGGTGCAGCACATAAAACCAGTTCATTCCTTTCCTTCCTTCGTCACTTTAATACTCGGCAGGAAAAAAAGAAAAAAGGTGGAATGCAACTCTCACAGTCGATCTTTGCAAAAAGGGCCTCAAAACCTTAATGCGACCGCGAAGGACTGTATTAGTCGAAGTAATGAAGCCCATCGGCAACAGAGCTTGGAGAAAGTCTCGTTTAACGGACCAAGCGACATCTATGGGAGGAGAAATGAGTTGGGGGATCGCGTTCCGAATACAGATGTCTCCCTTGCCAGGGATCGTGTCTGCCTTTTAGGGAGGAGCCTCTTCATATTGGTCAGGACTCCCTCTCTCGTTTCGCCTACCCGGAAGCTGAAAACTTCTTTTTATTATCTCCCTAACTCACAAATGTTAGTCTGCATTCATTAAATGATGACAATGACGATGATCAACTCAGAAAATTTTCTGGGATAATCTTGCACTTTCTCTGGGGAGGCCATTAACTCCCCAAATGCGTACTGAGAAGGTCCATCTCGTATGCAAAACAAGGCGAAACCCTTCATTTCGTGAAAGGCCTAGTTGTTTTGCAAAATGTAGTGCCTAATGAAACAAACACTAGAGCCATCATAATTGCACAATCTGTTTAATTTTACGCATTTCGTGAAATTCCTTATCACTCATTGACATTTCACTTAGAAAACTCCCATCTCCAGTGCGACTGTGCGTTTCGAGTCTTATTCAACACTAGAAGTTATTCCCTGTTTTTTTTTTTTTTTTTTTTTTTGCTGTGGAATTTGGGTTCGTCGTGGAACAAGATTCCCCTCTTTCTGAGCCAGATCTCAAGTCAACATCAAGCAGAAATCGAGCTGCCTATGGTGAACCCAGAAACTGACCGGGGGATTGAGACACGGAAACCGAAAGCGCGCAACGCCGCCTCCATCCAACCGTACCAGCCAGCCACTCTGACCTTCCATTCGGCTTTGCCCAATCCCTCCATACCAAAGGCATGGCGATCGGCCAATTTTTATTTCTATCTGCTTTTGCTCTTAGTGGACGAGACCTCACCTGCTGCCCCTCGATTCATCTTCTGAGCTGCGATATTCGTAAGCGATATGGTCGGGGAAAGCTTCCTTTCCTTTGATTTGGTAAACGTCATTTGACTCCTCTTGCAGGATTTTCCCTCGGGAAAACAACGAAAGGCGGGGATTCGCGCCAACCGTTGCTTCTCGAGCGTTCGGATTTTTCGCGATCGTATGAATCTATTAATGATGTCGGACAGAGTATCTTTTTCGTGGATCAGCTAGACATGCTCCAATCACGTTTGATGGCTTTGGGGGAAATGTGAAATAATGATTTTTTTTATAATGTTGTTTTTTTCTACTTATCTAAGAGTAGTTCTCCGAAACGGGAAAGGATTGCTCGCATGGTTACATGGTCGCAAGGATTGGGCACTCCTATTGTTTTTTTAAGATTCACGTACGATACAGTACGATAAGGCACCGGTAGATAAGGTACCAGTACGATAAGGTTCCTGGTGCAAGAGGCTCTAGGCCCATAACTACACCCTGACTCTGCGCACCAGCTGACCCACCCTCCCATCTAAACCCACACCAGCTAACCCACCCTCCCATCTAACCCCTTCCCCCTCTGTAACTTGCAGGAACTTTGAACCCCGTTGAGGGAATCGAGAAAACGGAAATACGGCGGATATTATCCTCGTAGTTATAAGTTGGACGGAACGACCTCATGAACCCGGCAGTGGCCGTCAGACGGACGTTGAGACGTGTAGGCACCGTCCGTACCCGGCAATGGCAGGTCATAAAGTTCGCCGAGGCATAAAGTTCTTCGCAGAAGCTTTCTGAAATTCCGCGGGATCCTACCGTAGGAATGACGACCGTCGAATAATGCAAGTTCAAACGTAAATACGTGATCCACGTGCATCAATGCGCAACCATTATTTTCCAAAAGTGATGTCTGTTTGGGATTTCACCGTCTCGGATTCCTCCTCGACTCGGATCCCGCGAGTTTCTCCGCAGTCAGCGGTTCAGACTCAAAAAGAACGGCCTCTCACTTCACGGTTCCAGTTCTCCAAGCATCTACCACTAAATTTCTATTGCTTCTGTTATCATTCATGTACTCGGGATGATGCGATACGCATTTTCAAGTACTTGGGCTTGCGAATGCGACCCGAAGAGTCGGGGACAAAAAATCCCACGGTGATTATGATATCGGTTTGTATCACTGTCAGTCGAGACGAAAGCTACTCTAAAATTTTTTACCATCGGAAAGTGGCGATCACGGTTTCTCTAGACTTTCCTCGTCGTTTTCCTTTCATGTCCGCCTAGTTCTCATCGCTCTAAATTGTATTTTTTTTTTGGAGGGGAAGCTGCACTTTTCAACCGTCACCTGAAGAATCTTCGTCAATAACTAGAAAAAATTTCTGCAGAACAATCAATATCGATAGCATAGAACTACGAACGGAAATGTTCCTTAATCCCCTAAAATGAAAAAGGGCTCCAATGCGAGAAGTCCTAATAATAAAATATCTACGTTTGTTTTGATCGATTACTTTATTGCCAGGCAAAAAAAAAAAAATTTACAGAATGTGCACCTACGTTAGTTATTGGGGGTAACCAATCACCTTCTGCCATAATACCCATACTCAGAAAAGACGATAGAACAGTTAAAAACCCAAAACTGCTGAAATGCAAGATGAAAAGTCGCACATGTTTTATGTGCGCTGCATCTGTTTGGAGAACAACATGTTTTCTCGCTCTGAGCCTCAGTACTTATTCTTCTGGGAAATGGAATGGTCTGAAAGCCACTTCCATGTCCGTGACTGTCGAGGAGACTGTAAAGGACATACTTGAAGGACTAAACCCTCGAGAGGCAAAGAGTGAAGTCGGTCTCAAAACTTCAGAAAAATGACATATCGGATTTTCTCCTCGGAAATGACTCCTCTCCTTTCCGACGTGTATGTCTTAAACGTTTCAATCGATGAACCGATCGATGGCCATTCAATCGTGACTTGTCACGGACGACAGGACGTTACATTTAGCACATTCCTTTCTCCGTACCGTCTTTTATTGTCTCATCTTGGAACCTGCGTACCCGAGTACACGGACCGCATCTCAATCCGTACTCGGGTTTCGGCGGAAACCCTTTCTATCTACAGCTCAGCTTCTATTGTACGAGACGCGTGATTTTGCCTGCCGTTCGATCCGCTACGAATTACACGCAGCATTAAGAAAACTATTCCCGTCGAGGGTCGCTGAAATTCGTCGTGGCACGGCCCAGTTTGTCTGGCAAGCC